GCGGGGCGGCGGGCAAAAGATCAGCGAGGGACGCTTGTCACTAACACGACCCCATTATCAACTCAGGCTGCTGAGACGGTCGCTACATGACATGAAAGCCGTGCCGTCTCATTGTAGGATGATTCAAATGTACGTGCGCTCACGGAAGATAAACATTCTTGTAAAGCTTCATTTCAATTAGTTCAAGTTTCAAGGTTGTGTTTTCAAACATCTTATGAATCTTAATGAGCCGTTTTAACTCTATTCTCCCAAATTAAAAGTAATAAAAAGATCAGGCAGCTTTATCCTGAACCAATTAAGTTTCATTGCTTGTCACCTGCACCAATACGGTTGTTTTAAAGACCTTGACCGTTGTTTGTGTGTTTGTCGCAAAAACTACTGAACAGATTTCAATTAAACTTGGTGGAAATTTGGTGCATGTGACGAGAAAAAACTAATTAACTCTGGATCCAGGACATTTTCACCAATTTCCCAGAGAATAATTCATTCATTCATTATTTAGAGGTCTGATGTATGAGTTGGTGCATTTTGACTTGGTTGAATTCCGGGGACAGTTGGGCGGAGGTGAGCTCCATACATCTTATTTATTCCACAGATGTTTGTCTGTTTGTGTCTGACGTCACGTTTCTTCAGGTTATAGATTGCACCGATTATTTCTGGTGTGACGGCACGAAAACACCATCAGAATCTGTGATCTGTATCTGGAAGATAAGGTGAGTGCGTACATGCGAGCGGAACGAAACGTGATCAGAAAACACATCTGGAGGTGGTTGATGCTCAGACAGGTGAAACTACAACTTGACCGGATTCCGTCCAAGCAGAAAGGTCATCGAGGGAAGAATCCAGGTTTGTAAGTTTGCAAAACTTCCGTTATATATCCCGGAGCAGGTGAAATGCACCGAGGAAAATAAAAACCATGTGGAAGTGTGGTGTTTATATATACAAATGAAATGTCTCTGCTTAATTAATAACAGTTTATCCACAGAGAATTGTTTCAGAAAGTTTATTTTTTATTGAAAATGGGTTGTGCAAAAAACAAAAATGATGACTGACGATGTCTCACCGAGGGTACACGCACGCTACGAGACTCTGGAACTAATTAGGCGCCCGAGTTGTGATCACAGTCGAGTGAATGAGCGGCGTGAGGAACCCCTGGAGGACAGATGTGCCATTCTGTACTGTAGTGTTGTGTTGTGTTGTGTTGTATGTGCTGGAGCTTTAAGTCTCTGGGGTTTTATTTATATAACATTAGAAAGTCTAATTAGGGTCGGTGATAATTCTCATTTGAGCAAAACAAAAATTCCAATAAGCAGCTTTAAAATGTTTAAATTGTAAAGACAGAAAGAATCCAGCGTATACTTAAATATATTTTTCTGTGTGTGTATGTTGAAGCTTGCGTGCACCCTCAGGAGCTGAAAAGACACTTCATTTGACTTATATCCAAACTGCACTGCACTGACACAATTAACAGCTTCTAATGCAGGTGAAGTTACAGTCTGGCTGTTTCTCCGTTACTGTGAGATGAACTGGCAACACGTCCAAATACACTGTGACACGTGATGACGCTGAAATGTAGCAGATGTGTCATTTACAGACGAACAGATCGCACAATGTTCGACAACGATCAACAGCGGGGGACCTGCTCCGTCACGGGGGTGGGGGGGTTGGATCTGAAAAGGAGCTTTGTTAAAGCAACACTGAGAAACGTCTTTACCTCAAACCAGCAGCTTGAATAAAAGGAGTTGGAAAGTTCAGTGACTTTCAAATGAGGAGAATGTTTCCTCGTTCATCTCCACTCCTCACCCCGAGCGTCTGTTCTACGTAACTTTGGAGAGCGGATACGTTCTCCGGTGAGGGGGAGGATGACGGTGGTGAATTTAAATTTCGAGGGAACCATTTTGCAGCATCTTAGTCGGCGTAACGTCCAACCAATGTTCAGTGCATTTCCTTATGTGATGCACAAACATGCACCGACAACATGAAGACATTTGATAAACCTGCATTTTAACGATCCACAGGTGAACATGATGAACTGTAGTTAACAAGATTTAGAAGTTATTAAAAACCAGAGCTTGTCTCCAATATTCAGCAGAAGAAAATATGAAGAGTTTGGTGCATTTGTTACAGCCGCAGCATTCATAGACTTTTATTCGTTTTTCTCTTGACGCTAAAAACCACTTCATCGCTCGGACACGGAGCCAATTAGAATGAATCGCCACGTGCGGCTGCCGAGGGCGCTGTTGCTCAGTAAACATCACACAGTGTTGCTTTAACGCAAGAAAAATCAATGAACCGTGGTTTAAAACTTCACATTTCAAATATCTCAGATCTCAGTGGATGAACAGTCTGTGTTTGGATCCTGATGTCACAGAATGTATCATTCATTTTAATTAAAAACATCATATTGTATATTGCCATTAAAATATTCATAATAATAACTTACAGGCTCGTGTATCCATTCAAAAACTAACAAACCTTTTCAGATCCTTCCCCCATGAATATTACCTGTGTTGATATTTACAACACTTTTAAAATGCCGTCACGGATTTTATGACAAAGATAATAGAAAACCTTTAATACCACACAGTTTTAGTTTGGATTTTACTCACAGTATCCTTGACTGCAGAACGACTCAAGCCACCGACACACAATCACACTGCACTTCTAAAGCAACACAGACGCCCAGTTACACCTGGCATTACATGTCTGGTACAACATCTGGATATAAGTTCAACGTGATTATCCACTTTGAGATCTGATCGCTCAGCTCACGTCACCTCCTCTCGTTTGCGTGGGTCCAAGAAAAGCGTCTCGTCTTCAATCCGAGTGTCTTGAATAACGTCCACAGGGGAAAACTGCACGTGGTGGAGCAGCGGCACGTGGTTCATGGTTTCCTGCCGCTGTAATTGTTTTACGCGAACACAACTGCATTTACGCTTTACACGTCACAACATCCTTCACCAACTCCGGAGGTGGTTTGACCATCAGATCCCAGTGAGTCCTCAATGCATCCTGGGTGCATCCACACCTGAACTTTACTTGGATCAAATAAGCTGGGATCCATTTTAATGCCAGGTGTGAATGGGGTATAAGTACAAGTTGTGTTGTGCACGTGATGTTGCAAAATCATCCCTTCGTACTTTTTACTTTACACCAGATCTTCATCCGCCTTGTGTCACCTCACATCCAACAGAAACAAAAGTCATATAAAACAACAGTTAATTAAGAAAATTGCCCATTTGGTGCCTTTAAAAAAAACAAAAAAAACAGATGAGTGGGACAAACCTGGAAACCAATAAGGCAAAATGTGTTGCAGACACATGAGAGCTCTGTGTCAGTTATACTTGAGCAAATGTGTCGGAAAGATCCGTTCAAACAAGAAATAAAATGAAGCTGCACTTTTTAAAATGCAGTTTTCAACTTCTGTGAACGATGCACTGTTATCTCAATGTTTAATGTCTCATTAAAGACAAAGAATCCCGTCCTGTCTCACTATTTTTAAACTTTGTGTTTACCTGCAGCTTTGCCGTGTACAAGAAACAAAGATCTGGGAGTTTGGGATTTAATTAAACCTGCGTTCACTTCCGCTCTTGAAATGTGTCTTGGACCGTGTCTTCCTGTCCAATCAGAATGGAGAACATGGAATAATCCGGTACATAGCCTAAGAACATTCTGCGGGACATGGAAAATGAATAAATGAAACGCAGCAGCCTCCAACAAAGCCGGTGAATATTTTGCCTCGTTGAATGCGACCCAGATAGGACTATAAAAACGAGTTATCCCCTTCTCCCTGCACACAGTCATTACGGCTCTCATCTAAGCTGCCCGTTATGTAAATAAAGAAAAACACAGAATAAGAGAGAAGTGTAATGTGTGTGGGACACGGCTTAGGAAAACAAACGGTGTGGGATGCATGTGGAACAGAAAGACATGAGACAGACGGAGAAAGAAAGGCAGAGAATATGGAGATAAAAGTGGAGGGAAAGTAGAGACGTAAAGAGGAGAGAGTTGCGAACAAAGAAAAATCTTTTCTTTACCCATTAAATGAGTCGTTACCGACCCGATGTGGAACTGTGTGAAACCCCCGAGGCTCCCGGTGCATCTTTTCTTCGCGAGATCGACACTATTACACAACGAGAACAACGACAACATCTACACCGACGGTAACAACGACAATTGTGCTATAGTGACACGGCACCCGATATACAGAAGATGCACATCATTAACACCACAGCCAGCGGCACATTAGCACACGCTGCTCAGTCTGTTATGTCACTTCTTTTAAGTGGCCTCGCTTCAGCTGCACCCACCGGGAGAACCAGGCGGCGTCACAGGGTGGGGCAGGAAACCCCGAGTCTCTGAGCACCTCCAAACGGCCGTCGCCGGGGTGACCGGAAAAAAAAAAACGCCATCGCTGTTGCCAGGACAACGTTGGTATTAAAAACGGTTCGGGTGAAGAACCAGAGTTTGCAGCGGAGCGGGCGACGTCCACAGAAGCCTTTTCAATGTGGATGAAGGGTTTTTATTTTGAAACAGGAAGGCAATCCTCGAGCAGCTGCGGTGTTTGTGGTTATGCTGTTTTGCGACTTTGCAGATTACGTTTTTATCGTATAAAACACAAACACTCAGCACGTCGACACACTTGCAAAGCTGAAGGAACAAGAACGAAGCAGTTGGCATCGCGTCCAGAGTTGCTGTGGGCTTTTTTTTTTTTTTTGTCACACTGAAAATATTCCATCTCCATGATGCAGTTACACACATAATCCCCCACAGTGCACCTCTGCCTGCACAGGTTTCCCTTTCTTCAGCTTCACAACAACTTCATTCTGAATTTATCACGTTTCTTCCAATCCTCTTTTGGGAAAATGACACAGTCACAGTCAAGCGGAGAGGATATAATTGATGGCGTCTCTTTAATCAGGTCGAATGTGAAGCAGGTCGGTGTTTAGCTGATGGAGGCGATGTTGATATATTCGCTGGCGAAGGGGGGGGGGGGGGGGGGGGGGGGGGGGGGGTGGTTGGTGGGCTCGGACTCCCCCACTTCCTCCACCACATCTCCGTTCCCTATTCTCAGCCCTCATCTTCCCTTTCCTGCGTCCTCAGACATAAATGGCAGTCCGGGAAATGACAGAGCCATCTCTTTGAGACTCCATGTCGTCGTCGAGGTACACGTCCATCTCTTCTTCACCGCCGTGGCCTCTGCGCATGTGATAGGCCGGGGGAAGCATGTTCCCGCCTCCCCCGATGTCTCCGAACCTATCATACTGCTCCTCTTCCTCCTCCATGCTGTCGTCCAGGTCGAACTTCTTCCTCTCGGCTTCACCCATGTCACCACTGAGGAGGATGTCATGGGCGGACGGGGGCTTGCCGGTGGACGAGTGGTGGAGGTGGTGATGGTGGAAGTCGTTGGCCTTCTCCGTCAGAGTTCCCGTGGCGTCGCAGCCTTCCCGATACGTGTAGATGGGCCCGTTGTTGTTCGCTCCAGTCCCGTTTTTGCCGCTGTTGCTGCCGGTGCCGCTGAAAAGCAGCCGAGCTTTGTTGCCATAGTCTCCGCCGTTGCTGCCGCCGCTGCCCGTCGCTATGGAGTCGCCGCTGCTGGGATAGCCGCGCCTCTGCTGTCGGCGGCTGCGGCTCAGGACAACGGCAATGAGCGTGACAACCAATAGCAGGGCCAGGAGGGAGCCGATCACGGCGCATGCCACGACGCCGGCACTGAGCGGGTCCTCCAAGGCTTCTGCAGAGGGGATGGAGGGGTTGGAAGGAGGGAAAATGGGTGGAGGAAAAGAAAAAAAGGGCAAAAGGAATTGACGGCTGTTTTAAAGTCCTGCTCCGTGTGGAGGAGGTGTTCTTCTTGTGTTGTCAGTGTGCTGTAGTGACAGTGTCTTCCTCTACGTGTGTTACAATCCTCTTACAAGTGTGTGGTAATGTTCTCCTCAGTGTAATCCCTTGGTAAGAGTGCAGTCAGTCATTGCTGGGATCAGGCTGAATGGGACTCATTCACTCTCTCCCAGAGGCTCGTTGCATTCTGCAGACACACACGTGTGTCCAGCTGCTGGCACTTCAGTTTTTCTGTCCCCCCCCCCCCACCCCTCTTTGCCAGCCTGGGGGAGAAGCCTTTTGTTCTACACGTCATGTTGGTGTGAGCCAAGTTTGCCTCTCCACTATTGTTTCAGTCGAAGATTGAAACAAAAACGAGAGATGGGTTTACAGCAGCGGCAGAGAGAGGTTTGTGTTGGGCCTCATGCTGTTATGGGTTATGGGCCCGGTAGAGCCACACAGACAGACGCAGAGACAGACACACAACAGAGAGGTTATTCAGAGAGGGTCAGTGGAAACGAGCACAAAGTCCTGCCTGGACAATCGCCACAATGTCTGACATCCCTCGAACCCTCCCATTAGCGCCCTCTGTTACTTTCCCACCCTCCTTATTATCCTCACTCCCCCTCTTCCTCCCCCCATCATCTGCTTCCTCCCCGTGCCTCTCTTATCGGGTCAGCTAGTGAAAACCACAGGGCAGAGCGGTCGCCTGCTGTCAGCCCAGGACTGAGTCCAGATCTCACTGATCGGCGGCACACAAAGGTAAAAGGTTCACACTGTGGAGCAAGACTCACATGCCAGGACATTTTTAAGAGGATTCTGTGCAGGAATATGAGAGAGAGAAAAGATTGTGTAGGATTTGTATGAGTAATTCATGATGGGCTAAAAAAGAGGAGAAAAAGAAAGGCGAGGAGAGGAGTTGAGCCTTTAGTGCAGAACTGCAAAAGGCCAGCTCACGCTTCTTCTTCCTTTGCTCTGAATCGCATGCTGATTTTTCTATGGGGTGCAGTAAGGGCAGTGGAATACGGAACAGCAGGGAAATCTGAGCCCCTTTCTGTTTTATGCAAATAACAGCGAGGTTCTGCCAACACTCCTGGCAAACACAGCAGTGAATGCCAATCAAACAATCTGAGGTTGGCTGAAACGAACACTGTGCGGGGTTACGAGCCGGAGCAGCACCGGTGAGGGAATGACTTTTTTTTTCTCTTTCCGAGAAATCACGTCGGACATCAAGCGCTGATCTGAGCGACGCTCACAAGAATGAATTAGGCTAACAAAACCAGCGGGGGGCTGGGTGTTACTATAAGTGAGCCTGGATAGAGAGCCTGTGATTTATACAAATCGTTCATTCTGAGGGTATAGGAAAAAAAGAGACAGAGATAAAAGCGGCGATGGATTGGGCAGGAGGAGAAAAAAAAAAATTGGAAGAGGGTTTTTGGGTAGATAGAGAGAGGAGAGCAGATGAGAGGAGAGTTAAGAGGAGAGGTCTCAGATTGCTTTCAAACACTCTCTAGCTCGGGTCTCGCATGGGAATGCAGGAGGGTTATGCCAGGGTGAGACAGACGGGTTGGGCGGCTGAGGCGGGGCTCCTGGGACAGGATATGATGTCTAAATTAGGGGACAGTGTCTGGTGATATCCCACTGAAGTGACAGAAGGCATTAGGATGACGAATCCAACTTTCCCTGTCCTAGTTTTCTCCCTCTGCAAACTCACAGACCGGACTGAACACACAACGTGAGGGCCAAAATGTTATTTATTGTGCAATTTATGCTTTGAGCATTAGCGGCATTTATCAAGCGTCTGAGCAAGAGACAGCTGAATAATGGACTTTGTGGAAGGTCTTTGGTGGCTGTCGTCCTTCCGTTAATCAACTACTTTAAATCCCATTATTCCGTATAGGCTATAAACAACAGTGTTCCTACGAAGGTCCATTAGAGCGAGTGTGTTCATTTTTCAACCACTCTTAGGTCACCAGCTTGGTTTTATCTCCAATTTTCAAAGTCTAAAAACTGTGGAATGAAGATTGATTTCTAAAACCAGAATGATTTTCCACTGCGACGACCAGAACGCAGCGACCTCCTCCTCTTCCTCCTCTCATGGCTCCAGACTAACCTTTCAACTGGTGCCACTGAGGTAACTGGTCCTGCATCTTTAATCAGAAACGCATTCTTGCCAACATTTGTAGGAGAAGTTTGATACTAATCTCAGGTGCAGATTGGCATCCTGTGTTTATGTGGATGTTTGACGTTACTCACCACAGGTTCAAATACTTCCAGTCATTATGAGAAGCTAAGCTAATCACCTCCGGCTTTATCCTCAACTCACTGACTGATTCCAAGTATTCCTCGAGGACCTGTCTAGTTCCAGGTGTGACATGCTTTTCTATAACGTCACAACACTTTTCTACTGTCCTACATTAACTCAGTATGGTAAATGGGTTCAGATCTCCATGTCAGTGAGCTCAAAGCGTCGGGGCACATAAGCTCAGCATGACACCATTTGACGTTTAATTCCTCCTGGAAATCCGAAAAGTACGTCTATGCAGGAAAACACTTTTTTAAAGGCAGATACAAAGTTTCCTCAGGTGCTGTGACATCACGTATTTCAATCCAAAGCTCTAATGGGTCCTAGATCATCTCTGACAATACTGTGCCACATGCACGATCAGTGTCACTGTCAAATCTTTGGCAAAAAGTCTTATGACGCTTTAGTAAACACTGCGCTGTGAACATATTTTCCAAATAAAAAGTGATAATAAAAAAAAAAAAGGGCAAGACTATCGTTAGCAAGAAAATAGGCCACGCTTGTCATCCTGATTTCTCATCAACAGCGGCAGCCTGCCTGCATTAAGAAGCACAGTGATAAATGTCATAGAGAGAGGCAGGGGAGCTTATATCAGTCTCTGTATTAGTGTCATGTACGTGGAGGAGATTAGGGAGAGAGTGAGGGAGGGAGAGAGAGTGTGAGAGAGAGAGGGAGAGAGAGAGCCATGAAAGCAATCCATTTCTACCCAGTTACATTCACTGCGGTAGGGATAATCTAAATGAGAAGATTTGGGCGGCAAGGTGCAAAGAGTTAGAAGGGTGGAGTGATACTGTAGACAAACAGGGGGAGGGAGAGAGAGAGAGAGAGGGGGAGGAGGAGGGGAGATGAGTGAAACAGAGGAATCCAAATAATCTTTTGTTGATCTCTGTCACCATCCCTCTCCTTCCTCTCTCCTTGCTTCGCGTCCTCACGATCGGGCCTGAAAACACACCGAGCTGCTTCAGCAGTCAAACAATAAGCCAGAGGCACAGACTGTAAAAACTCCACAGTGGGAATTCTCATTAAAAGCAGCTCTTGGTCAAGGACAAGACGCAGAGAAATGCAGCCATGAATATGCTCCAGACGCGGATGCCACAGTCGCCGGCTTTGCTGCGCGAGGTTACGCTGAGGACTAATATAAAAAATGGATTTGAAGACTGTGCTTCTACTGACAAAAAAAAAAATCAAACCTAGAACTATCGAGTCAAGTTCACTCTGCTTCTCAGCTGAGTTCTGAGTTTCTCACCAACAATTGTTAAATTCAGCTTTTCAGGTAATATCCACCGACACAATACTCACAGATTCAAACTCTCCATTACCTGTTCATCAGTTGATGTACCTTTGACTTGACTTGCTTTAGCTAGCGTGCTAACCTTAAAGGATTATAAACAACACGATCATGTAGACTGACGAACAATTGCATTAAAAAAAAACTCAGTAAATATGTTTTTCTCCATCTGGCGAACGATCTGTAAAAAGGGTTTTCCTGTGTTTAAGTGCAGGTTTCATGTTTTCATGTTTTCAAACTAAAGTAATTTGAGTTTGCTGCTTCTCTCAGCTTTAAATACTTTTGTTTCTGGGGGGGATGTTACCTACACAAGCGTCACACTGTGTGCGATGCTTTGTGAGCCGCAGACAAACTAAAGTAACAAGATTTAAGTCATGATTGCATGTATAAAGCTGCATGTCCGGGAGGCACGGGCTCATAATCGTAGCAGATGTACGCCGAGGTGGGGGAGGTGAGGCCGCGGCTAAATGTTATCACGGTGGGTTAATGGGACCCGGGGGCGACGCAGGCGAGGAATCACAGATGTACAGTGGGAAGAGGATTTGAGAGTAACCTCTTTACAGACACAGCGAGCTGAAGCGAAATATTTCACCGCCGACTTTGACGAGACGCCTCACCGAGGTTCGCGTCTCACGTTCGATTTGAAGAAATACACGTGGGCCTTTTTTTCCCGGAGAAGACAGGTGGAAACAAAGCATAATGAACGAGACACACGAGGGCCGAGAGAAGGACATGCACCAATAAGGACGTTAATGGGTTACAGTGTTCCGGTCGATAACAGAGCACAGAGAACGTACTAGCGTGGCATCGAGCACGGGGCCATTTTCATGCAGCGTCTGACTGAGTGTGATTAGCATTTATTCATGAAGCTATGCACTTTCTTTTTTCTAGGAACATGCTGTTAAAATTGGACTTTATGGAGAGGTACACTTTATGTAATGTAAAGTGTGAGAGAGAATTTTCTTTCAGTGTCATTTCATAGGATTAAAAAGTGAAGTGTTGGTGAATACATTCCCTTTGTACCATTACCTATGTACGAAACTAATTTATTTGAACTGTTAACCCTCCGTTTATACATCTGGACGACCTGGAGAACCAGCACCCTCCACTGACTGCTCTCCTCTCTACTTCAGCATCGCATCCTTGTCGTACTGTCGGACTCATGATGGAGGAATGTGCATGTTCTGTCGTCTTTGCGCTCCCACGCCCACAGAAACCGTCCAAACATCATCAGTCACACTCGCATTACACACCGACACGCACAGCTACACATTCAGTCACACACGTACTGTAAAAATTATTAATGTGCGCACACACACACACAC